ACAATACTGAAAGTTTTTTTTTCCATATTTCGCTTTACATTCTGGTACATAAAATTATTTGCTAAATTTTATAAAAGCAAGTTGTCTTTTCTCTTTTCAGTTATTTTTTTTAGAGCATAGACTCGTTAGAGGACGTAGTGCCCTTGGTATGCGTACATGGTGGATACTAACATATTTATTTTCGCAAACACAACTCTTGCGTCTTCCACGGACAATCCAAACACCGCTTGTCATCACACATGGACGATGTAAGCAAAGCTTTTCGTTGTAAACGGAATATGCCAACAATATTTATCGTTGTACACAGACAATGCAAACAACGTTTGTCTTCATGTACAGACGATGCAAACAAGTCTTGTCGCCGTTCGCAGACAACGCAAACAACGTTTGTCGCTATACACAGACAATGCAAACAACACTTGTCACCCTTACATAGACAATGCAAACAACGCTTATCTTCAAACAGACAATGCCAATAACGCTTGTTGTCATACAAACAATGAAAACAACGCTTGTCGTCACAAACAGACAATAAAAACATTGCTTGTAGTCACACACAGATAACGCAATTTTGTTTATTTTAACATCATATATTTTATGAATCTATGATGTTGGTTGTTTCCTATTTTGATGGTATTAGTTTTTTGCTGAATAAACAACTGTTGTACATTTCGAAATTAAAGTGTTTTGTTTTTAATGGGGGTGGATGGGTTGTTAGCTTTGGTACATCTATGCGATGTGATTATTTACCTACGCATTTCACTCATAATAATCCGTAGAGAATATACCTCGGACACCAATTCAAAATAAAGTTTATGTCAAATGTTGCATCATGTGTACAAATGAACATATTCAACTTAACATTGATTCAAGCATGTGTCTTTTGTATGTAATATTCATACGGATACAAAAATGCTTTCATATGAATAATCTTTGGGTGGTAAAGCTATTTCGTTTTAACTTTCAAACGCAAGTGTTCACACGGGTACATGTCCTCCTCGAATATTTGTGGCAACACTTGAGTGGTTCTGTACATTTTTCAATACTTACATTTATAGAAAAATATGTGATAAATTGTAAATCGAATCTAATGCTGTTTTCAAACCAGGTTTCCCTTTAGCTGTCATTTCAATTTTTCTTTCACTAACCATCAACCTTTAAAGCCCTTACAAAATGATATGCAGTTCTTGTTGTTTGGAATAATTTGGATTTGTTCATTTAAAGACATTATATTGAAAACATGATCGTGATAATATCAAGACTAATAGTATATAAACGTATTCATGATTAATGGAATTCATTCGGAACGTTCTATACTTTTGGACTTGTAATCGAAGATTTTTTTTATAGTTTTGTTTGGGGTTTAATAAACAATACTGTATGTGTCTTTAGAAATTTTAAATTTTTTAGGGAAATAAATTACTTGTTGAAATTTACTAATGTGCATGGTTTCGCTTCGTTCCGATAATTGGTTTAATACCAAATAGTCGTAACAATATTAATAATCAAATATCACAATGGCAGGATGTAGCTTTGCTAACTATTTTATCTTCAGCACACAAGATCCTATGTATTGATGGTGCGGGTGCAGATCGCAATTATTTAATAAATCATTCAAGCTCGCTGATTTTATTTCAAGTCTACAATTATATAATTATATAATTTCCAGTTATTTCAATTAGATTCGTGATTTTAATTAGATTCTAGATATCAGTATAGTAGTTATGCGCTAATAAATACCCATTGTTTCAAGAAAATGTCCCACTACCTTAATGTGGCCGCTGAAAAGATTTGTGCTGGGCTTCTCTATCGTCTGTATGTGACAGTAGTCCGCATGTTAGTTCTATATATCTGCACCTAAACAGTGTACATATAATTCCAGTTCTTCAATTTTAATTTCGCAATACATTTAATTGTATTCGTCTATTAGGCCTATGCATAAGATTCGATATGATATTTATTTCACATAATTACGGGCAACATAAACGCACATGACAATATTTAAGGTAGAAAAACACTTTATTTCTTACAGGAAGCGAAATGTTATATGAACTTCTAAACCAGGATAAGTATTAAAAACGCAATGAAAACTTGACCGAAAACTTCATGGAACAATTCTATTTACTTTGTCATTATTGCGTGACGTTATTAAATATAATGCGTGTATGGAATCTATTAGTGTTTCCCGATTTAAGTTTCAAACATATTTTGAGAAATATTCCTCAAAAAAAGTTTCAAAATCTTAAAAGCTTAACTTCATTAACCTTCCAAAGACTCTGCACAAAGTTTCTCATAAATGCAAACACGACATGCATTCATTGGGGTGATATCAGCCCGTGTCACAGCTTTCCAGTTGGTACTTTTTTTACAAAAACTGTTTAAAATAAAATTGTTATTTGTTTAAATTTTCAAAAAACTCAAGGGACAAAAGGATAGTAGAAACATCATTTTTACATTTTCCTTAGAAGCCATTATTTGATTACTTGGTGATAACAAAATCATTCAAATCTGAGCAGTTTCTAAAATTACGATCCTTTTCGTAATCCCTATATTGATGCCATTAATCTAAAGAGCGTTTGACTTATCGATTTCGTTTTCGTACAAGATTAAACTTCAGGGCACTGGGCCACATTTATTAACATCGAATGTCCGCAATTTTCCTTTTTTTTTAAAACTTGAACCTGATCGACGAGACTATGTTTTTTTTTCAGGTTTTTTTTTTCCCAAAATTATACATTTGTATTATTTGACGTTTGTCAGAGATAAGAGTCTGGATTACATCGAACTCGTTTTAATTAACACCCGATTTACAAAGAATCCAAAGTTCGGTTTTCGATACGCTTCAACTAACATTACTTTTACTGGTGATATAAAAACGTTGAAAAATTTTTCTACAGGCAATATACATCGATTTATATAGCAAATATTGATGTAGAATTTGCTGATAATAACCACCTTGTCACTCAGATTACACGAGCAAATGCCTCAGGGATCAAACTCGATCCTATCTGACAATGTTTCGAAATAAAAATCATCTAATCAGATTGAAATCAAAGGCGGATTTTAATGAAATTTTCCAAAAACAGCCTTTCCTATTGCTTTAATTTACTTTCCTTGTTTACTTTGAGGACCAAATTACTACGATAAATTATATGTATGCACCAATTTCGATTATGTACACACCAAATATTGTGGAACCTAGGTTGAGATTAAAATCAGAGGTAAACATCATAAGTCGTTGAGTTCGTATGTAAGATTCGAAATACAGAGAAACACGTGGTCTTGCTCAACAGGTAAGATTAGAATACAGGAAAACACCATATAGTGCTACATATACATGTATGATTATAATTACCGGTACTATAAATCGCTGCATATACAGGTAAAATTAGAATTACGGGTACATACCATATATTGTTAAATGTATTAGTAGGATAAAATTATAGGCACCCAGCGTATCTTGCTAAATATGTAGATAAGATTACAATTGTTACAAGCCGATATTCTATATATATCTAAGTTAAAAAAATGGATTACTGATTTAAAACAGCTGCCAGTACCATATTTAGAAATATTGTATGACTCAACCGGGGTTCGAACCCGGGACATACTGCTACAGAATTGTAGTAAGCATCTCACTAGCCTTGAGTAGTAGACAATGACCTTGACTTACATCTTCAGTAATTTGTGTATAAAGTTTATCAGCACCTATCCTAAAAGTCATCAGATTCCTGGTTAGTTGGCTGTGGAAGCGAGGTGTTCATAACTTCCCACTGAGTCAAATTTTTCAACGGCTCTGTATTACCAGTAATAAGTTTTACATGCCAAATACACGTGTGGATTTATCAATATTCGATGTCACGAAGTTACCTGACGAGAGAATGTTAAAAAAAAAAAAACATTGGTAATAGTATATGTTACTGAAGATTGTATTAGGCCATTTTTCTGTCAAAACTGTTATTTTTGGACATTATTTACAAATCAAAAGTTTTGAAATTTTTCACCTCATCAGCACTTTTACGAATTTCTATGTTTTCAATGCTTTTCTACTAGAATCGTCTATATTGGCCTTGAATAAATAGATTTATACATTTCTATGACAGCTATGTACTTTGCCGGAATATAATTTGTTCAGCCAGCCTTTACACATGAATACAAATATATTTGCCAGTATAAAATTGTCTGTTAAAAATAGTTATATGGAGGGATAGGATGTTTTCTTTAATACTGCACCACATTCAGCGATGGTTACTATTTCTGTTTCATATCAAATACATTTTGATAAAGCCAGTAGCACATCATCAGAGTCCTCTCTGCTTTTTCTGACGATGACCGAGATGTATCGATTAGACTTTTCAAATGTCCACTATTTTGAATCGTCTCATCAAAGATGGTTAATATAACAAAATCCGGAGATTAAAGGCCAAGGAAACGTCGTACCTATCTTAGAACGCTGACAGCTGAATGTGTTCTGATATTTCATAGTCCAAATGTTTTATTGTGTGTGTGTGTGTGTGTGTATGTGTTTGTGTGTGTGTGTGTGTGTGTGTGTGAGAGAGAGAGAGAGAGAGAGAGAGAGAGAGAGAGATTTGGATTTGTAACGAAGTCTTAACAATTCTTCACATAGAAGGTTAACATATCCAAATTCTGAGATTAAAGGCCAACAAAACCTCGATCTTATCTTTGAACACTGATATTTCTGATATGTCATAGTTCAAAGGTTTTAATGTGTGTGTATGTCTCTGTGTGTGTGTCAGAGAGAGAGAGAGAGAGAGAGAGAGAGAGAGAGAGAGAGAGAGAGAGAGATTTGGATTTGTAACGTAGTTTTAACAATTTTTCACTCATATCACCAAGATGTCCTCATTGTGGTAGTGTGTATTGATGCTCAGCACTGAAACATCATGCCGTATCAACTGAATAGTCCTATAAGTAACCACATCATGCTAAACACCATGTCATGTTTTGGAGAGAGAGAGAGAGAGAGAAGCCTTTGGTATGACTGTGACGGGGTTCGAACCCGACATCTTCCGATACCGAGGCGGACGCACTGACCACTTAGGCCACCAAAGAGGTCGACACATACATTCATGCGTGCGTGCGTGCGTGCATACATACATACATACATACATACATACATACATACATACATACATACATACATACATACATACATACATACATACATACATACATACATACATACATACATTGTTCGGTACAGTGTTACTGTAGTACAGCAGCTTGTGTAAGAATTTGTAGAGGCAATTAGTAAAGGTCGATAGGACAATGATTACTACGATCTGATTCAAGTAGAATATTTTAGCTGTTTGATGACGGAGTGGTAATATTTATTTTTTCATGTTATCGTGGAATGAACAATATTAGCCTAATAATGAAATGGAGTTCCTGTCACGATAAAAACCCTTATCTATCCATTTTGAAAACCTTTAAACGCATTATCTGCAAATATTTTAATACGAGCGGGCAATAATGAGAATAATATCGCCTAATAAACCCAAGAACGTTTTAATTTAATTGTCTTTAAGTTTGTAACCATGAAGAGGAGTGCTTTCAAAAGGGTTGCACGTACTTTACGAATGGGTTAATGACTCCTTGTAGTAATATTATATCATCTAAATAGAACGCATCCCAATTAATCGATATTTGCTGTCGGTTCAATTTTCTATGAGAAAATATTTACGTTATGAAAGTATCAAAATTTACATTTCTGTGAAATGTTTGTCTGTCATTGCCATTATCATCAGCTTCTGCATCAGTTGTTCCTGTTTAAATGCTAGGCTGAGCTGTATATTTGGCAAGCAACGCTAGGCTGAGCTGTATATTTGGCAAGGAACGCTAGGCTGAGCTGTATATTTGGCAAGCAACGCTATGTTGAGTATATTTGGCAAGCAACGCTAGGCTGAGCTGTATATTTGACGAGCAACTGAAACCATATAAATACGGTGGTGTCGCATCTTTACGAGGGTTACATTCCAGAAAGGAGCGCGTAAGCCTAACAGCACCATTGGTTGCTTGGGTGCTTAGTATTATACTGTACGTGAGGGAACAATTAGAAATCAAGAAAAATAGTTATATAAATATATTTCATCAATATGCCAAAATCAATGATATTTATCTAATATTATTGAACTTATTCAACTCAAATCTCAATATGTTTTCTCAGGTATTATAACGTGATACAAATTTACATCGATACGGTTGTGTACTCTATAATAAGTGTAATTTACAAACATTAAATAACAAGAATGGAGTTTAACAGTCAGGTTGCTTGTGACCTTTAGAGAACTATCATTTGCATTCGTTATCTCCAAAACAAAACACATATCGATCGTCAAGCCGCTAATAAATATGTATTTCTAAGGATAAAGAACGTTAAAGGTTGAAAGTTTGGAAAGCTGTGAAACTGCTTTTCAATCGAAATATATTTTTATTGGCTCTTTTGCAACTATGTGTCAGACACGAACTGAATAAATGATTTGCATGGGTTCTCTGTTATCAGTTTCAGAACGATTTGCGCATGTCAGCAAAAGTTTCAGCAATTGGATCAAGAACTAATTTGCAGACGGGGCAATTTGCAAGCACATTAAAATTGCCAACACTCCATCGCGATTTTGTGTTCAAATATTTTTTCTGTAAGATTGACAATTTATCCCAAGAGAATATATCATCCTGATTCCATCTGTATCAGCAGTAATCGCATAGATTTTTTTCTCTTTGGGCAAACACCCTGGATTGCGTGTCTACAGTTTTGTGATGGACACGATAACTTCTCCTAAGTCAAGCTATGCCCCATGTACAAGGTTTTAAATGTTCCTAATTCTGTAAAGGAAAAAGAACTAAAAAATACACCTTTACATTATACATACAATTTTAACTTAATTATTATAACACCAAGCCTCGGCTTGATGTATTGCTCTACTTTTTTTAGCTGCATGAGATCGACATTGTCCAGTTCATTTTTCACTCAACAAAAATATACGTGGAAACATTTTTATTGTATCACCGGCTTCTGAGCAAGGTAAAAATTTTGTATCGTTTTCTAGCTGTTTTGGGGTAACTTTTTAATATAGCATATAGGTCTTGTGCAATGCAAAGATTCGACAACTTTGGATTCAAGACGTGCAGCTTGTGTGATATATTGTATTCTCCACAATACCCTGTGAAGTTAAAGACTTACGTTTACGAGAATATTGAAAAAAAATCAAAGTATCCGTGTAGTATTTCATGTAATGTTTAACTGCACCAATCAAAGGATGAAGAACTAACGTGGAAAAGAAAAATCTTGAAATTAACGAAGTTTGACTATTCCTTTATTTATAATTTAATAGACTCTCACAGTGACTTGGACGTCAAAGCCTCTCTTTAAAATGTTTGAATTATGTGTTCAATTAAGCAATTGAAAGAGAATAATTAAAACCTCAAATTAATACATACATAAATAAAATTAGTTGTAAGCGATTAAAACTCACGTGATCCATGTAACTGAGTTATTTTAACAAATGATGTTATGTTCTAATGTATACTTATAAAAAAAATCAGAAATGAATAGAATTCAAATATGTTAGAAGACATAAAATCAAGGAAAATTTCTTAATTAAATATTGATCTGTGCTTATATAAATTTTAAACTAAAATTTACTGTCCAAAATATTGTCTAAAGTTCCAAACGTTCATAAAAAAAAGAAATAAATATAAAAAAATAACTAAATAAATGTATGCATCTCAGTATTATTGGGATGTACTTAGTGCGAAAACTGCTGAGTAGACTGTCACGCCTTGTATACTTCTGACGAAACTGGCAAAACCCACAACCAACAAAAACCACAGATCACGCAAAATCAGCAAAGGCTGTTCGAATCTTTCATCAAACACGAGCTAGTAATACAGAAGCTACAGTTAATCAATTAGAGCAAAAAATATAGAAGAAATTACACAATCGATAATTTGAACATAATCAGCTTAAAAATTGAACTATAGAAAAAATAATCGGCTTTATTTTAGCGGCACATGCTGTGTTTAATGCTGTCGCTAATTGCGATGGTTTAGAACCAGTGTTAGATGTTACAATGGTAGTCCGCATGACAAGGGAAGTCAGCATGTGTTCGTATGCCATGGTTCGGAACCTGTGCACATTACCAAGGTAGTCCGCATGACAAGGTATGTCAGCATGCGAAAGAAAAGAAGAGACAATCAGAAAGTAAACATAATGACACAAGAATTAAACCATGGGGGTTATAAACGGATTGGATCATGTATCGCAAGGTTTGAAATGATTTGTTCAAATAATTTATTACTCAAAGCATTCTGCTTGTCAGCCGCTTCATTTAATACTCGATATTTTTATAAATTCAAAACCTGTACATTGTACAAACTAATAATTGTTCGGCCAAGAAAACAAAACATAACATCAGAGAAAATATAACTGTTTACTCATATAACAAATTCGCTAGTAATTTAAAACAAATATACCGGATTTGGCTGCTTGTACCGATAGTGTATAATGTATCATTTTTGTATACATGCAATTTGCACTTATTTCCAAAATGAACATTATTATCATGCATTAGATCAATGATTTGTTTCAACAGTAACAGTTTTTCCTATGCATGCGTCACCACCAAAATGACCCAGCGACTGGCAAAAATATCCTAAAACATGCCGTAAGACAAGACATTGTTTATCAGCATAGTAAATTATATCTCAAAAAGATGCAAATTGCCAATTGACACCTCTTAAAAAGGTCACTCCCCATATTAGGGAAAGATGGCTAGATACAATTTTACTGTAATTAATAATATTTACATAATAAGAACAAAATCAAATCATCCTTTAAAAAAAGGAAATATGTATCTAGATTAATGTACACACGTGAAACAGCAGCGTTTTTATATCAGGGGAATTAGAGTCAATATTTGATCTTTGATCTTATTTACCAATGAAATGCTTAGGACCAATATCTAAGAGAAGAAAGAAAAGAAACAAATAAGTGAATCTCTTTTAAAGTGGTCAGTTATTTAGAAATTTGCAAGCAATTTCGAACTTCAAAGGAATGCCCATCATTATCGGTTGAGCCATTGTGTTTCCTACGCGCGTCTCTAACACTTTACGCCGCTCAACATTAATCATTTTTGATTACAGCTTTGCGCTGCATTGAACAAATATTTCAGTGGAAGTAATTTTACATTAAATAAATCAAACTATTTATCTTACACGAAAACACCCTGATGTGATGTACTCGTCGTACATTTGCAATATTTGCTTTAAAAATGAAATAAATCAAATATTGCAAATGGATGAGCAGCCATTTTTTAAAAAATATTTTAATTTATAATACCTTATTGGTATTTGTAAACGTTTTCGTTAGACAAGAAGGTTTATTGGGAGAAAAAAAAAGACATCCTTACGTGGAATGACTTAATCAAAATCCTTAAAAAATGTTTACAAACTTTTTACGTATCACGTGAAAAAATAGCTTTGTCGCTCATTGTTCAGGAAACGTTTTGCCTTTTTTTCTAAATTTTCAACCTCGATTAGGTGTTTGCTCAAAATATTAATTTTTACAGATGATTGATAGTATATCAATTGTCATTTTTTGCAAGAGAAAGTTCTGTTAATTTCTTTATCAAAATGACATTCCTAAGAACATTTTAACTCCTACGTATGGTGGATAGGCTACAGACATATGCAATTAACACTTCATATTTATATGTTTCCTGGATAGAACTACAAGCATGTGTGTTCTGGTTAAAACATAAGTCATACATAATGAACATTTCCCATCTTTTTGTTTTCTGGGTAAGTCTACAAGCATGTGTAAACATTTCCCCTCTTTTTGTTTTCTAGGTATGACTACTAGGGTGTGTTCTTTGTACAACTACATGCATATGCAACTTTTATATCAGATTACGAATATCGTCCAAAACATGCAGCCCATATCAGATTACGGATATTGTCCAAAACATGCAGCCCATATCAGATTACGGATATCGTCCAAAACATGCAGCCTATATCAGATTACTGATATCGTCCAAAACATGCAGCCCA